TTCATCTCATTTTGGCAGCCTCTCTGTTTGTTTCTATGTATTAGGTAGAGCTGCTACATCTCCCAGGCTTGGTAGAATGTCCTAATGTGGAAGATGTCCTGTAGGGTCCAGTGGCACAGCCTCCCTGATCACCCAAGCTGGGTACTCAAGGTGCACCCCCTCTATGGGCTGTACACACTCCTGTTCTAGCTGAGTACTTATTGCTGTTAGCACATCAATGGGAGGGACTTACCTAGGCCAATCAGCTGGGAGGACTGGCTATGACCACTGACTAACATGGAGGATCAGCTGTGCAGGAGCCCACCCCACAGTGCAGGACTTACTTCATCAGGGCTCTGGTGCCCACTGAGTCTGCCCGAGTGTGTAACTTGTGGAGGTAGTTGGGTGGTGGCTTCAATGTGGTCTGGCCCAGCCGGGCAAGGCTCAGCTATTGAGCATCGACCTAGGATCCAGGAGATCTCAGTTTGATTCCCAGTCAGGGCACATGCCTGGGTTGTGGGCTCAATCCCCAGTCGTGGGCATGCAGGAGGCAGCCAATCAATGGCTCTCTCATCATTGATGTTTCTATCTCTCTCTCTCCGCCTCTCCCTTCCTCTCTCTGAAATCAGTATTTTTTTTTTTTTTAATGTCTCAAGATGTCCACTGGGTGTGCTTGCTCTGGGGCCTCCTAGGAAGTGCAAGCCAAGGTCAGCCACCACTTGTGTTCTGCCCAGGGTCGCTATGCATAAGCTACAAAGCGATCTACACATGGCTGCTTCTTGTGCTGGGCTTGGAGCTGCCCAGGGAAAGCCAAGCTGTGAACCAAGGATGGCTGCTGCTAGTTCCAGGCCTGGAGTCACTTAGTGAAAGATATGGGGCTCACTGATCACTGAGGCCAGATGCTGCTTATTTGAGAGATTTTAGGAAAATCTGAAGCATGAGTCAAGACAGGCCATCTGTATAGAAAAGCCACTGGAAACAGCTTGGGTGGACCCAAAAGTTGGATGGGGCAGGGCCTCAGGGAATCACTAGGGTTGGGTGAACAGCGTAAACCAGGTCGATGGAGACTCAAATATGGTGCCTGTCTGCTGGCTCTGTGGGGGGTGGGAAAAGGGCTCATTAAAGGAGCAATGGCCTCTCCCAGCACTTCTGTCTGGGAGAAAGCTGCCCCTCCAGCTCTTGCCCTGATGCCAAACAATTCAGTTCCTCCCTATGTGCTTCTGATGCCTTTCAAGATGCTGCCCCAAAGCTGGACCTCAGAGTGAATGAGTCTGAGTAAGTCTGTGTGTGGGCCCTTTACGAGGAACTGCCTGGGACTCCAGCAGCCTCATTCTCCCTCCACCTCAATCCCTGCTGATTTTTACAGCCAGAAATTATGGGAACTTCTCTTCCTGGCACTGGAACCCTGGGCTGGGGGGCTGGGGTGCGGGTGGTACCCCTCACTCCTCATAGGGGACTGCCACAGCCCCCTCCCAATTTTTACCCACCACACATGGGTATGGGACCAGCGCAATCTGAATCTCCGCCCCTCCTACCAATCTCAATGTGGCTTCTTCTTTAATTCTGTAGTTGTAGGGCTTCCATTCAGCTCACTTTCAGGTGGTTCTAAATGATGGTTGTTCTATAGTTTAGTTGTAATTTTGATGTGGTTGTGGGAGGCGAGTACTGCATTTACCTATGTCACCATCTTGGCCAGAAGTCAAAACTAGCCCTTCTATTTCTTCAGGTTGTTGTTGGCCCCAGTGCTCATATTTAAGATATTTGTGAAAAATGAAAAGGGTCTTTCAACTTAATTCATACTTATTATACTAAATGGGGAATTTTTATTGACTCATAAACTCTTTGTGGTATCACTGTAATTAGCTAGTTATTATTAATAAAGAAAGCAAAGAGAAGTCAGACATTGTAAGCAAGGTCATCTGGGCAGCTTCACCAGGAAACTACAGCTTCACACTCCCCAGGGAACCACCAGTCCATTCCCTGCAAATCACTGGGAGAGGGCTCAAAGGGAGAAATGGGTGCATGTATAGAAGTCTGGGTGACAGAGGGAAGGTGCTTTGCCCGTCAGTCTAGCCTAGGAGACAATCCTGGAAGGTTAAAATCCCCAGATAGAGATCCTCCTCTCTTGTTCTGCATTTGCTTGCTCTTGCTCTGTGACCTGCACTCACCCGGCACTTGTATATTCTCTCCCCACAGCCATTTGGCCTTAGCAACCACATGGCCCATAGCCATGCGGATCCCATATGCAACCAACTGCAGCTGGGAACACAAGCTAAACTAGCCAGATGCTGGGCAGGACTGTACTTTAATATGGAGCAGAAATTCTGGGCCTTAATTCTGGCCCCGCTGAAGATAAGATGGGACTTTTACCCTGGCAAGGTGGGCAGAAATGAGACCTTGGAGGGGAACGGCCTTAATTTTGCATCATCAATAAAGCTTTCCACAAAACCCCATCCTCCCACGGGGGCCTCGGGGAATTCTTTTCCTTACGGCACCCCAAGAATTCCACTTCCACTGATAACAGTTGGATGAAAGTAAACTTGGGCTGAAGTACTGAGGACTTGTTTGTTGGACATCTTTAAAGAATACAAGCCTGGGATATTGTTTCTTTAGCCAACAACCAGGAAAAAAAAAAAAAAGTGCTCTAATTCTCTTTTTTAAATGATAGTACTACTACTCCTGCCTCAACAGTCACTGGATGTTAATGGGAGTGGGTGGGTGGATTTTGAAGGGCACAAACCAACTGCAGAGTTACTTGAAAGAATAACTGCTGCATTAACATCCCCCAGTGCAAGAACCACCTTCCCTGCTTTTTTTTCCTGTGAGAGCAGTTCTCTCTGCAGCGATGTGGACACAGTTTATCTGGGACATTTTCCAGTGTCTTACAAGAGAACCTTGCTATAAAGTTAAACTGTGTGAAACTAACAATGACTTTTCTATGTGCAAGGGAGGTTAGAAATATCCCAGACAGAACAAAAGCAAAATAAACACAATCTGTTTCCCATCTTTAAGATAATTCCATTTCCAGAAGGAATGTAAAAGCTTGGAGTTTAAATAACAAAACGGACAATTATCACAGATCTAGTCTATTAGTGACCACAGGTACACAACTGATATTATTCCGGCCATTTTTATAACCCACTAGTGACTACATCAATTAAGGTAACACAAATGACTGCTGAATTCTGGTCATTCTGTTCACAGTGATATGGTCAATATCATTTTTGTCATTCTGTTCACAGTAATATGGTCAAGCTAATTTTTCTTAACTTCTCACCTTGGAGTTTTCATTTCAAAAACCATGCTTCAAAGATTTATATTCATCTACCCACAAAACACCCCATTCCCATTAGAAACAATCGCTGCTGCGCTGGTATTTCACTCCTGCAAATCAAATGTGCTTTACTCCCCTGGAGTCCAAAAGGGTGGGACAGATACCACCTACCTCTCCAGCCTCACCACCTGCTGCTCTGCACATCGCACTACACACTAGCAGCATATGTGAAAATGTTTCTAGAAGAGTAATAACTGTGCAGATCCTTTTAGACTTTCAGGCAGCAACACTCTAGGAACCTACTGTTGACTAGGTGCTATGTAAAGAGAAAAATAAACTAAGTTCAGAACACAAACAAGAACAGAGAGCAAAGCAAGCAAATACACTCTTGAGGATTTGGCCCTGAGCGAAAGAAACCAGAGATAAATGTGAGAATATCGTTTAACTTAAGCAGGTATGTTTAATGGTCAGAACAAAACAAAATCAATTAGGAAAATTTATATACACAAGAGATGCTTTACAGAGCAGTCAGTCTTTTTCGTGTTGCTTATTTTAACAGGGTTTAATATATGATTATCCTTCAGTCTTCTGAGTTAAATTTTTCAGGTGGCTATAAGATCTGGAACATAAACAAATTTACGTAACAAGTAGTTTACTGATATTCTATGAGATGTCCAATGTGCTGTTCCTCACTAGCAACTCCTACTTCATAAGCTGTGCAAAACTAATGAATGTGCACTGAAGCAGCATTTCCATTAGTCCTGCATCCACCCACGATGCATTGCCTCAGATGATCTGTTTCTAATTTTCACTGAATAAACCTGTGTCTCTAGCATGCCCTAGAAGTAATCAAAGAGCTCAAAAGAAATAGCACTCAACAGTGTGGAGAAGGCCTGGGGGGCGGGGGCAGATACAGAGTGAAGGGGATTAATGGGGGGAAAAGGGGACATCTGTAATACTTTCAACAATAAAGATAAATTTTTTTAAAAGAAATTAACATTCTTCCTCTCGGGAGCTCGCCCACGCCTTTCTTCCCTCTCAGGCGTGCATCTCCTGAACTCTAAGGGACCCCAGGAGACTTGCGACCAGAGGAGCAATGGGCAGCAGCAGCTTGTCCAGGGCCAACCCCCTGAACCTGTTTCTAAGGCCCCTTTTCTCTGACTTTATAACGAGCCAAAGCAGCCCCACCTAGGCTCTCCTGTTGCTTCTTCTATCCTAAGCCCTTCCTTGTTTCACTGTAACCCAGTTTTAATAAATGTACTCTCAAAATTTAAAAAATAAAGAAAAAGAAATATATGTAGCCTGTTTTCAGACTTTGTGGTCACCTGTATTTTAATTTTTAAAAGATTCACGTACTGTAAATCTTATAAACATTTCTGCCATTTACAATATACCAGAAAAAAATGAATACTAAAAGTAAGATAATGGAAAAACAAAAATAGATTGCTTTTGCTTCTACACCAGTTCTACACCAAAACATTTTGCTGAAATGAAGTCTTTTTTTTTTTTAATATGTCTTTATTGATTTCAGAGAGAGGAAGGGAGAGGGATAGAAACATCAATGATGAGAGAGTCACTGATTGGCAGCCAAGCCCATAATCTGGGCATGTGCCCTGACCAGGAATTGAACCTTGATCTCCTGGATCAGAGGTCGATCCTCAACTGCTGAACCACACCGGCTGGGCTGAAGTGATTGTTAATCTACACAAAACAGACCTTCTAAATGATACGCAGGATACATTACAAATTTGGTTTCAAAATTTATTTGAATTTAATATAAGTCTTACAATGATTTCAATAAATCATTCACTCCCGAACACAACGTGGAGATGCAATGATTACATGATGACTTCTTAATAGTCCAAGGGGATAAAAGTATTTTCCAAATATGGACAGAAATTAAATCTTTCTATAGTATTGACCCCTAAGGGCTATTCTCCTTTATAGACTACAATATTGTTGTCAGTTTCATACACTTTTACTTTATAAAGAAGTCCGACAGGAAGAAGTCTCTGGAGGTTGTCCCAGATGTATACAGCTACATTTTCTGACGTGCTGGAGAAGAAAAGAAAAAAGATCAAAAGACAAATTAATAAAATTTCACGTTTAATATTTACAGAGAATAGAAATTCTATTTTTAAAAGGTGCGATTAAACTAAAACTTCAGAAATCACACAGCAATCAGATATAATGTTGAAATCAATTCTCCTTTCTTACTCTCTGTTAGGTAAGAGTCACACCCACCTCACGACATCTGCAAAGTAAGGCACATCTAGGTCCAGGTTCTTATGATCCAGGGGCTTCATGATGGCCTCCTACAGACAAAGCAAAGGGAAAAATCAATTCCGTCTATGACTCAGATTCCAAAGTGTTCCACCTTCGCCTCGAAAACTTTCATTCATCCACTAACTCAGTACTTTTACATATTTCACCTGTGTCTTACAAAGCAATTTCAGAAAGTTTAAATTATGAAATAAAGTCGGCTTTCCATGACTGGTTATCCTCCTTACTGAAAGCAAAGATGTTAAAAAGCCAAAAAGTAGAAAATTCACTAGAGCTTTCTCATAACAAGCCACTGTAATTCAGAATTCAGTTTAACACTCTCACGTTCTGTTCAAAAAGTTACCAGGAACACTACTCCATAACAGTCTCACCTTTAAGACAATGCCACAGTGTCATTAGGACAAAGGTTCAGTGAGTACTACATTTTATAAGGCAGACTAAAACTGAAAATTACATTAATAGTTCTAAATTTCTGCTGTAAGGAGTCATTTAAGAATGATCTTGAGCTCTTAGAAGAAAAAACATAAAACATAAATGCTATTGCCTCCTAATGCTTATTAACCTGGTAAGAATTGTAATTGCCTTATTCTAAGTTTTTAGCTATATTGTACATAATCTAAGCAGTTTCTAAGTTTTTACTTTTAGCTATATTGTGCAAAATGGAAACAATCTAATTTTCCATATGGTGTGGTCCAATAAGGGTACATTAATTATAAAAATAGCAATCATTTTGTGAGCAAAACAACAATCATATAAAACTTGCAAGTCCTAGCCCGGCCAGTATGGCCCAGTGGTTGAGCTTTGACCCATGAACCAAGATTCCAGGTCAGGGCACATGCCTGGGTTGTGTGCTCAATGCCCAGTAGGGGGCGTGCAGGAGACAGCCAACTGACGATGTTTCTCTCTCATCGATATTTCTCTCTCCATCCCTCTCCCTTCCTAAAAAAAAATCAATAAAAAGATATTTTTTTTTTTTAATTTTAAATAGTAAGTCCTGAACTCAACGACCTTTAAAATAGATGAAATGGATATCAATAAAGTAAATATTTGTTTTATCTTCAATTCCAGTTCAAGTCCCAACTTTCCCATTGAAGGGTCTTTAACAGGGCTCTTTCTAACTTTACTCTGTATGCCATAACAGGAGTGCGTGGTGTCCTCCAAGGTGGCGTACAAAGGTGTATTTAATCATACTGCTTGCTTGGGACATCTCATATTTCTCATAGTGTTGTCTTGTATTGTATAACACTCCATGTATACATATTTAATGTCCCTAGTAAATGCAAGAGTTCTGTCTTCACAGCTTTCCGAAAGTACTTTGAGCACAGTGCTGTGTGTTCGTTCGCTCATTCTCAGATACTCAACCAACTTACTGAGAACTTATTCTTTTTAATTTATTTTTTTGCATCTTTTGTCACTTACACTTTACATTCAATATTATTTTGTATTAGTTTCAGGTGGACAGCATAATGGTTAGATAATCATATAATATCTTTTCCTAAGTGATCCCCCTGATATTTCCAGTACCTGCCTGGCCCCATCCATAGTTATTACAATATGACTGACTGTATTCCCTGTGCTGTACTTTACAGCCCTGTGACTATTTTGTAACAGCCAATCCCTTCACCTTTTCACCTTGTGAGAACTTATTCTTTACCTCCTAGAAAAAAATAACATGAACACTCTGGGCAAGGGCGACGTCTCATTCGTCTCTGCACTCCTAGTACGCAGCTCAAACACTGATGCAAAGTAGGCAAACTTGAATATATGCATAAGTAATGTAGAAGTAGTAATGATTAATAACAGCCTTTTCATGAAACACATTTTAGAAAAGGAAGGAGCAGCCTGCAGCAGAGAACTAAACAAAAACAGGTGAAATGATGGCATAATAAAAACTAAGCTGGATACAAGGAAATATACTCCCAACTTTGTAAAGGACTAACCATATGACCTAGAGCAAGTCAGTTAACTGTTTAGCATCTCTCAAACAATCTGTGGCATGAAGAAGTTGGCTTAGATATTATCTAAGGTCTCTTACAATGCAAGAATTCTAAAATGATACAATCAGTAAGTCCTTTGTTGAACACATTTTTTGGGGTTATCCTTATGATGAACTGCCCCAGTGACTTTATAATAAAGCTAGAGTGACTAAAACAGGGTACTGTTAAAATCTATGATCAAAGGCATAAGGAAAATTCAGAGAGAAAAAAAGAAAGCTTCAAAGACAAAGCTGTATCTTGAAAGAACATTAGAATCTATTAAATGTAGATATGCCAGCAAGGAAGACAAGATGAGCATGCTACACTTATTTCCATCATTGTAATACAACTGCAACTGATTTCCATTAGAAGAACATGAAAGCAGTTCCTCCAACTACTCCTCTACTCCCCACCCAACTGCGCTCACACCGTCACGGAACCTCTGGAGCTACTTGGTTGGGAAAGTGAAAAGTGAGCCATCGAATATTACACTTAGAAGACAGCACATAATAAGCACCAAACATGCCATTACCTCCATATACCCTCTGAGGTCAGTCAAATTCATAACCATTCCTGTAACAGGATCCACCTAGAGAATAAACAGAGGTGAATATTACGATAATATGCTCTTCATATTTAAACCTCTGGTAAATTATTAAAGGCTGTACAATGTGCAGAAATTGTGCCCACATTTGTCTTCATCATCAGTCTCAGCAGGGAACACCAAGTGCTCTAGGCATCCTTTTCACTGTACTGCTCTTCTACCTGACCACATATAGCACATTAAAGATGACACTTTGGGAAAGGGAAGGCCTGGAATGGCAGCAGCTCACCATACAAAAGGACAACAGTGAAGCAATCCTGATTTGAATAGAATTTTTCAACACAGAATTATCACATTGGCAGCGAGAGGGCCCAGCAATCTGTACAAACCACACAGATATATTCAGCACGTACCTCTCCACGTATCGTCACCATAACTATGGGAAAGAAAACAAAATACCAAAAGACCAACATGACTTTCAACAGATTAACATCCAAGCACAGGTTAGCAACATAAATTATTAGATCTCTGCCCCGCAAAGCTATATTTATACTTCCCCCAAAACATGTTTTCTTAGTTAAGATCTTTTTACCAAAGCAAGAGTCAACCAAGACAGAGGAGCTTAGTAGCAGCTTTAGCTAAGGAGAGGAGCTTAGCCAAAGCCAAGAAGGGAGTAAATTCTGCTTATGATGCTGATGCACTAGTTAGGAATCTCCACGACGTAGGATTGAGATGCTGCCCGATCGCTGCCTGTAAAAGTAGAAAATTTACAGAAAGAGGTCCAGCTACCTGTCAGTCTGGTCCAACTTTGGGCAGTACCTTTCTAAGCAAGCAAAACTACTACTGGACCTAAAACTCTTTCTGGGGGGTTAAGAGGGAAGCCTAAAACTCTGATAAATGTATACCGTTTATAGTAATGCTTTGTAAATTAACAAGTGCTTGTATGAGGCATTTGAACAATCCTGATAATCAGAATGCTTTACAAATTAAGAACTTTTATAGTTTTTTCAGCTCCATACAAACACTTAGGGCATATATGATAAATGAACAAACTAAGAATGAAAGGTATCATAGATCAAGTAAAAGGCAGTAACTAAACTAGAAATCCTGATCTTCTGACACCTTTCCTGGTCTTAATCCACCATACCATATGCTGTCATACTCGATGGCTTACGTACCTGTTTTTTGAGACATCAGCTGTATTTCAAAGAATCAACTCTCTTATTCTTGCATAAATTACTTTATTAGAACTCCGCTGGCAGTTTTAGACCCAACTTATTTTCCTACCATCCAGCATATTCCTAGACAATATTCCCCTTTTGTCAGCCATTATTTATTCAAAGAATACAATTTAATTTTAACATTAGCCTCAGCAACACATAATTAGAATGAAACAAGAGCCAAAAGAATCTCATTATGTACACTAAGACCAAAGAAAAAATTAGGTAAACCATTCATTGTTTTTGGACTCTCTGTAACAGAGCAGGCAATTAATTGCAAGGTAAAAAAGTTAAGACACATCCAACCAAGGCAACAGCTGTTTTCATTTTGAACTTCCATTTAACTTCTCACTCAAAGCTCAAAGCATTATTGCTCTGCCCAAAAGGATTTTTACTCATTAAGACTGTATTTGCACCCTGGCCGGCGTGGCCAAGTGGTTAGACCGTTGGCCCAAGCATTGAAGGGTCGAGGGCTGGATTCCCAGTCAAGGGCACATACTTGGTTTGCAGGTTCAATCCTGGCCCAGGTCGGGCGTGTGCAGGATGCAACCTATCAATGTGTCTCTCTCACATTAATGTTTCTCCTCTCCCTCTCCCTCTTTCTCTGTCTCTCTCTCTCTCTCCCCCCTCCCTCCCTTCTACTCTAAAAATCAATGGGAAAAATATCTTTGGGTGAAGATTAACATAAACAAAAAAGCAAACAAAAAAAAGACTGTATTTGCTAAATATTCTTCCACTCTTATTTTAAGGGCTAAAATGTCATCAGTTTTCCTCTCACCTTTGTAATTGTGCCCATGACCATTTGGATTGCTGCATTTCCCAAACAGTTTCAAGTTTTCTTCATTACTCAGAGATTTGCTGACCAAGAAAAAAAAAGTCAACATGACACAAGTTCAGACACCTTCTCTGTTCCCTACATTTATTATTTGTTCTAGCCTTTTGCACACGACTCTCACTGTACCTTCCACAACACTGACCAGACTACGCCGCGCACAGAAGGCAGTGCCAGGTGCGGGCTGATCGCTGCTGCACCCGTTACCCAGCAGCAGGCCTGACGCGCCCGCCACACACACCTGTCCGGTGAACGAACGGGCAGGTCTTGTTAGGTGGAAACTACTACCCTTATTTTACAGACGGGGAAGTGGACGCCCAGAGAGTGGAGCTCGCTAATGAGCGGCAAAACTCTCCTCAAAGTCAACTCTTTAGTGCCATAGGCCTGGGATCAAATTCCACCCGCGCAGCGGCTCAGGGCCCCCTGAGGCCAGCGAGCATCCGCCTTCACTTCCTCCTCGGCGCTGAGGCGCGGATGCTGATTCCGTTAGTTACGGGAGCTAATTACTCCGGGCACGTAGCAGCAGCGAGCACCCGCGGCCTGTGGACCGGGGGCCGGGCGCCGTGCAATCCGGGGGCGCTGAACCCCTTCGACGTTACAGCGACGCTCGGGTCACGTGGGGAACCGAGGGGCAGAGGTTGCTTCGGGGCGCGGGGCCAGCGAGAAGCCTCGGGGATCCGCGCCCAGGGCCGTCGCCCTCGCAGTCGGCTCGGTCACCCAGCACGCTTCGACACACACGCTCCTCTGGAGCCGGGTCACTCCAGTCGTCACCTAACGGTGTCGCCGGGGAAGCCCGGCGGCCCCAGGACCACACCCGGCGGGACCCCGGGCGCCCCCC